CAATTGTAGTGCACAAGACGGGGATTCATGAAGCCCAATTTTATAACTGTAAAAAAGTTAATGTACGTAATTACATCGCTACAATTAAATTAACGTTTAGTGAGACTTAGTGGTAATAGTTATATTCAAGTCAATCATCTCTATCAAACGTACTATTAATAGATCGCTAGCTGCTAGATACATGGAACGTGAAAAATTAGTCCTTGAGATGAACTTTTTAATCATTTTTTGACGAACCGTCACAATCTTTGACAGTTTTTCTTTCATTAATCTACTTTGCTTTGCCCTTATTGCTCCGTGTATGTTCGCGTCATGAAATGTATAAGTGCAGCCACCAGAATATGTTGATATCCTATCATACGTCTCTTGATTGAATTTTTTTTAAAGTAGCTAATTTTTAGACATTACTTATTACTGAGTTTTTTAAGGAGTTTAGAATTTAACCATGCAAGACGAGTTGGAGTATCGCTCGAACAACCACTAGAAACTTGCTCGAGTGGCTAAATAGGTTACAAGATCTTTTGATGTATTAAAGAAAGATGGAATTCTAATAACCTTTTCACTCGAATTTTCTCGTTACTTTTCACTTGAATTTTCTTGTTTACTTTTTCAGCTTTCTTTTTAATCGTGCTTGATGATAGGAACTATGTAATTTTTAGATAAATCAGTAAAATTCAACTCTACAAAAATCAATCAAAATGGAAATTATTTGACCATCAGTTCACATTGTCGAAATTTTAGTTAAGAGAGAAACATGGTTTTGTTTATTAGTAACATTTAGATGACTAAACAATTTCTAATTTAGTTAGATCTTTTTATAAAGATGATCAATAAGAATATCCTAAAAATAGATAGTTTTGATATTGTGCAACATTACAAGATAAAAGAATAGTAAAAAAAAATAGAATAGTAAAAAAAAATAGAATGAGTCCAAATAAAAAAAATTGCTAAAAAAGATAAGGTTTTTTAGAATGTAGTGCTAAATTTATACCAAGTGGTTAGTTTACCACAGGTTTGACCAAATAATCCTGTTTTCTAAATAGTTCAAGGGTGGTCAAATTTAACAGAACAAAAAATTTTGCTTTTTATGAAAGGGAAACGAAACCTGTGTTGGGTGGCCAAATTTTTAAATAGGGTAAATTATTATATTTTAAATGTATAAAAAATTATTTTTTTTGTCACGTGGCACAAATTTGGTAGTCACGTCAGCACAAATGTGGATCTCATATTTGCCACATCATTACTTAACAGATTTTCTAATGGATGTATGAAATTGAAATAAAATGATAAGTAAATGTATGAAATTGAAATGTTTTAAAGATGTAATAAAAAATTGCAATCGACTCCAAACCTAAGAGAGTAAAATGTAATTTATCCATACGCGCGCGCGCGCGCGCGCACACATATATATATATATATATATATATATATATATATATATATATATTCATAAAATAGTGCCAAGTACAAAAGCTACCCAATCTTTTTTGGGTGATTCTAGATTAGTGCAGGGGGAGAGGGGAGCGGGGAAAGAAAGGGGGAGAGGGGAAAAAGAAGGGGGTCGAATCGAAGAAGGGTGTGGACGAGTGCAGGGGGGCTGCGGTCTTCTACTCTCTTCCTATTTTCCTACCTAAACTCAACTTCTCCAACCCATGATCTGCTTGTTTGATAGGGATAGTCCCCAATTTATCAAGTCTCAGCCTTGGGTTTTTGGTTTCAAAGAGAAGCCAAACGAGTTCTTGATCCAGCTTCAGCAGCATGGTATCTAAAGTTTCTAGCTTTCTGAGTTCAGATTATTGGGATAAGGTATTCCACTTTGGTTTCTTGTCATCTGTTGGATTTGGATTGTTTTGGTTATGTTATTTTGATTTTTTTTGCTTTCAATGAGTTTTGTTATTTCAAATTGGCATGCTTTAGTATGGATGAGAAGCAGTTTTTGAATTAAAGAATTAGAATTCCAATAATTAAGTAAAGATTGGAAAGTGTATTTCTTGAGATACTCTATATATCTGCAGAATTAGGATTATTAATTTACTGTGAGAGCATACATTTGGTTGAAATGTTTTGGTTGATTATTGTGCTATCTTGGGGAGATTAGTGAAGCAATAAGGGAGGTGCTCTCTATTTAGTTGTCACCAGATCACAATGTCTTTATAGATTATAGAATTTGAGAGACAAAGTTCTTTGCACCGAGCCCTAGTGGCTATAAAGTGTTATGTGGTAATTAATATACAATGCATGCTGGAAAGTTCCTTATAGTTTGTAACTATTTTTATTTCCCCTCAAGATGTCTATTGGTCTTGCTTATGTATTCCGGATGACTTCAATTTTGGTACGTTAGCTAGCTATTCTATAAGTCATGTGGGATTAAAAGTGGGATCAAGTTTTATTCTCATGCTTCTTCCAAGGTTGTATTGCCTTCTTGAAATTGCTAGGCAAGAATGTGCTACAAATAATATGGAATTTTTTTTTTATGATCTAGCTGCTATTAATGAAGTCCAAACATTTATGTTTAAGAAAATGTTGTGTAGTTGGCATGGTTTCACATCTCAGTGATAGCTCTGATGGATCAGTACTTATATCATGATATATATTGTTCCACAAAGGAACAAGATGTGTGATTACCAATTGGTGGCATTTTACCATTTATCAAGATCTGTGCACAACATTTGGTTATTTCTAGTTTTGGAAATGTTACTTAGTAGATGGTTTGATTTGATACAGGTTACCATTTCTGTTATGACTTTAAGTGATATGGTGATTCCCTGTTTTCGTAATATTAAATATTTGGATATTTTGGTTTATAAATATGGTTTCTATTGAATTGTTATTTTATTTATTGCTATCGATTTACGTTCTGAAATGTAATTTTGATAGTGGATTTAAAACACTTATGAAAATGTGATTTTGACATGCAATAATTGAAATGTGGTTTGGATTTGCATAGTGATGGTATGAATAAGTGAAATGTGATTTGAATTGTGTATTGGAAATGGTTTGACATGTGATTGAAATGAATAATGCTGGTATGTGAGGTAAGTATGTAACCCATTATGGGGATTTGTTTCTCATTTTTTTCGTTGTTGAGTCTCAATTGAAAACTTGCCATGTCTTGTTCTATGAGGATTATGTTTTTTTTTTGATTCTAGTTGATTAATGAAGTCCAAACATTTATTGTTAATGGTTTCACATCTCAGTGATAGCTCTGATGGATCAGTACTTATATCATGATATATATTGTTCCACAAAGGAACAAGATGTGTGATTACCAATTGGTGGCATTTTACCATTTATCAAGACAAACTCCGTGCACAACATTTGGTTATTTCTAGTTTTGAAATGTTACCTAGTAGATGGTTTGATTTGATACAGGTTTACCATTTCTGTTATTGACTTTAAGTGATATTGGTGATTCCCTGTTTTCGTAATTATTATCCTATTTGGATATAATTTGGTTTTATAAATATGGTTTCTATTGAATTGTTATTTTATTTTTATTGCTATCGATTTACGTTCATGAAATGTAATTTGATAGTGGATTGAAAACACTTATGAAATGTGATTTGACATGCATAATTGATTGTGTATGAGTGATGTGAATGTGATTGACATATTGAATTGCTTGGGAGATGTGAGGTCCAGTAATGGACCGATAACCCATTGTGATGGGGATTTGTTGCTCGATATTGTTTCGTTTCGTTGAGTCTTCGTGAATTGAGTAACTTGAACCATGTCTTGTTCCTTCGAGCCGTAGTTATGTTTCTTGGACTTTCGTTCGATTCCGTTGAGTAATGGTCCGAAATCCCTTCTACTCCGCGATTTCGTTGAGTGATGGCCCAAAATCGTATCACTTGACTTGTTGGTTTCTTGGATTTGATATCAGCTTCAGAAATGTAGGCTTGACTTAACTGTGTCACTCTAGCCTTATTTTTAATATAATTGTGAGCAATGGTTTCGAGAATCTTGTGAATTAAATTAGAAAAGCTGTTGGACGTCTAAGTGACTCCTTCAGGATTTTCTATGATTCGATTATGATTTCATAAGTATGAATTTAGAAGATATGGTTATGGTTGTTATTATTATGGACAATTGACTTAATTAATGTGGCTAGAGAATGGTATTGTGCTTCGTCGGTTCTTGATATGATATATGTTGTGAATTGCGGTATCATGTTGCGATATAATGACTTATATAAAAGATGGAAGGAAAATCATGATTTTCGGGTGGGTTTGTTATGTAACCTTGAGTCTAGTAATTTCATGCTTGTCAAGTTCTATTGATTGACTGAGAAATGTTATGCCTTTCGGCTTAAACGGACTGTGATTTATGTCGAGTTATAGCGAAGACGAACTACGAATGGCTTGATCCCTAATGAGGGTACGTAGGCAGTCTAACGAGGAGGTTAGATGTAGCCATAAAGTGTACGAAAAATTATCATGCATCTGGATCTTGAATTATTCTTGGTACATATGATAAAGGCGGGGTATGTTGAGTTACGGGCATTTAGTGACATCACGTGTCGATCTTGAACGTATGTCGGGATCGGGGCGTGACAAATAGTTAGTGTTCAATGTTTATAATTGATAATTTTGTTTACTTGGGGAAATCTATGAAAATATTGGAGCTTTACGAGTAAATCTACAAGACCATTGTTTTATCCGTCAAGAGTCAAGATCCCACTGACAAATCTACAAAGACTCACAAACTGAAAATGAAATTGGGATAATTTCCAATGGAAGTGGCTCCTGCATTCTAGGAAAATGGGTTCTAAGTGGTAAGCAAAATTAAGAGTGGAAATTGATCAACGAAAGAATCTAAACCACCTAATTACAAAAAAGTAATAAAATAATAACAATAAAAAAAAATAATAATAAAAGAAATTGGGGAAGCAATTGCTCCCATTTTCTTTAAACGTGCAAAATGGTGTGAGGAGGTGGCCACTCTCTTTCACCCACGTTGAGTTTTACCTCCCTTTCAGGAAGAAGGAGGACGACAAGAAGAAAACAAGAAAAAAAAAACAGAAAGCAAAACCTGGAGAGAGAACGAACTGCCAAAAGAAAAAAGAAAGAAAAGGAACTGGCTGACATAATGACATACTTATAAATAAAGAGAAGTTTATTTCTAACAGAATAAACATACTTAGGGGCAAAGGTGAAAAAAAAAATCATTTCGTTTTGGGCTCTTAGTTCAGCCCATGTGTGTTAAATGTTTACAAATCTGATATAGATTAGTTTTGTCTTTCTGATTAAATATAAAGTTCTTCTGATTAAATATTAGGATGATTTTTTTATTAAATTAAACTTAGCTTAATCTCTTTTCGCTCCCATATTTGAAATTGAAAGCTGAAAAATCGCAAGATCTGATCCCGAGGCACCGCCGTTCACGACGGAGCAAGAGAAGGGAGACAAGAAAACGACCGGGGAATGAGCGGGGCGACGCTGTGCACTCTGTTGGGTGAACTAGGGTACGAAGGGGCGGACGCATTAGACCCTGACAGCTTCGAATGGCCCTTCCAATACGACGACGCTCGACCCATCCTCGACTGGATCTGCTCCAGCCTCCGCCCCTCCAACGTCCTCTCTCTCCCCGAACTCTCCTAGTTACTCTCTCTCTCTCCCCTATTTCATTGTCATTTGGTTGAATTTTGAACATTTGTATATAATTCTGAAATTATTGTGTTTTGGTGTAGATATGAGCAATTTGTACAGGAGGGGAAGCTATTACAGGTAAAATTCTCGTTTTTGATGTTTGCAGTCATAATTGTTGAGTTTTTATATGCTGTGTTCGAACTTCAAACTGTTTATGTATTGGTAATTTGATATAAATGTTGATTGTGCAGGGAGAAGATTTGGACTTTGCTTACGATAGCATTTCGGCCTTTGCTTCCAGGCGGTTTTGGCAGCCGAGGAGGGACTCAAAGATATCCGGTACCATACTTTTTACTACATACTTTTTACTTTCTTTTATACTCTTTTAGTTATTTTTCCTCTAGTGATACATTAGTTCATCCATATTTTTGAGTTCTGGCCTGTACATGAGGATCAAGAAGAGATTTTGGCAGCATAGGAAATGTCTTGGTGTGGGTATTGCTTATTTGATTTGTTTGTTTCATTTTTCTTGCAGTAAATCATGGCGAGGAGGGAGGATGTTAATGAAGGGATAATGTACAGAAATAGGTGGAGGACTAGTATGCCTATAAATTCTTAGTAGTTTGGATAACGAAAAGCTATGCTTGGTAATTGCATATTCTACCTACTTGGTGATGCATTGTGGAATCCTGTTCCCAGTACTTATGGACTTCTTTTCTTCCTTAGGGATGCAACTTTGGCCTATAAAGCTGAAGCTTTACAGTTGCAGAGACAGCTTAGGCATCTGCATTCCCAATTCGACATGCTTACTGATTAGGCTTTTACTCTGATCCAAGGGAGACGGGCACGAGTTGCTGCAACGTCTACTGTCAATGGACATCTTACAACTATAGACGATAGCCTCTCTGCAAGAAATTTGCAGGTATATTGGTAAAAAGAAGGCTCCCTTACTAGAATAGCTACAATCACTGAGATATATTCTGCACATTGGTGATCAATTTTGAAATGGATTTAGTCATTTTCTTGACTAAGTTGAAAATCAATTTCTCAGACATTGGTGGTGGTGCAAATTGAGGACAATGATAATTGATGAGTTTGATCCATTTAGGTTTTTTGTGATAGTAATATGTTTGATTGGGTTTGGTTTTCCATATAATATGTATACTATGTTGTCTGCAACCATGTGAATGAGCATTTGGATACTCAGGGACTTGTCTGCAAACAAAAACCCGCAGTTCAACCTGCCTTTGCACCAACAACTATGTGTATAGGGTTTTTGATCGATTTTTTGATGAGAAAAGTACCATTAGAAGTTTATTTCTACTTAAAATTTCATAAGATTCGTAATTTCTTCATTGTAATCTAGATGAATGCAGTTCTTGGAAGGATGGCTTCTACAGCACAAGAGTTGGCCCATTATCATTCTGGGGATGGTATTATACTCTTTTACCTTTCAGTACTTTTGTTGACTATTTGGACATTTTACAACTATCTTTGTTATTTAATGGCCAGTATACGTTCTGCATTTTAATATGAGAATTATTATGTGATTTGTGCACAACTGATGGAGGAATGCGAGATCACTTTTCTGCTTACGAATTCAACAATCAAGCTCACTATTTATGCTTTTCATATTTATGATTTTTTAGCACTAAACTTGCAGGGGATGGCATCTATTTAGCTTACTCAGACTTTCGTCCATACTTAATTGGAGATTCATCTTGTATGAAGGAGCTAAATCTGTGGTTTGCCAAGCAGTTAGAGACAGTATGTATATAATCGCACCCCCCCCCAAAAAAAAAAAAAAAACCCTCTCAGCATTGTTAATAATCTTATTTATTTACTGATTGTGTATGAATGATCATCCTTTTCTTTTCCAGTTTTAATATTGCTAATTTAATTGGTCGTGCTTCAGTGTTGCTTTCACTTAGGATGGAAATTTAGCCAGTATCGCTGCAACTTACTTTTCAGAAATCCATCAAAACTTCGTGGCAGGCTGCCAGCTTTTATTTCTAGATCCTCTGCATTGAAAGTAAATTTCCAATTTGGGAATAATTTCAAGATCGCTATTTATCAAAAGAAAAATTTAGCAAAATTCAGATTTCTAGTATTCATATTTCACAAGTTCATCTCAGAAAATTCTTATCTTGTTAGTATTGAAAATCTTCTGCATAAGTTATTGAAATCATGTTTTTCCTCTCATCTCTTGTAAATTTCTTGCGGACCTATCTATTCTACTGTATCTTTTTTGCTTCTTGCCAGTTTCTCTATTGTATACTTCATGTACTAGAGTTGCACCTTTTAAGAATTTACTAGGTTATTAAAAGGAAAATGAAGGCCTTACTAAGTGATATGAACAGGGTCCTTTTTCGTTTAGTTGTTGAAGAGGGCAAATCTAAGTGTTCATGGGTGAGTCTTGAAGACATCTCAAACATCATAGTAAGAGGTAACCCGTCCTATGGCTTTTATTGCTTATTTTTCACTCTTGTATTTTCCTCTCTCTCCCCATTAAGTTTTCAAGATTAATATCTCCAGGTTGTTTTTGCTATTCCAATATGTTGCTTATTCACTTTGTTGGTGTAATAGAGTCGAGATTACATGTGCATGCTGGATGCTTGTAACTTTGAAAGAAAAAAAAATTATTTGATGCCTCAGCTGATACCAGATGCTATTTTCGTTTTGAAAATATTAATTCCGGCTAATTCATAAATTGAATCAAATGAATCTTTTTAAATATGTACAGAAGCATAATATGCCTGCCACAAATAATTTTCTTCTTGTTTTTCTGCCCATACGTCCCTGAAAAATGAAAAATAGGGATATGTTTTCATTTGTAACGTTGTAGTTTTGCTTTTCTCAATCCAGAAAGTATGTGCCATCAATGTGTATTCATGTCATTATCACTTTGATGCAAATGTTGATTATTTGCATAAGCGAATATCTATAATCTAGAGTTACTAGGTATTTGGATATCTTAAGCTGTTTTAACTTATATAGAGTAGCAAATATTGACTCCTTGGTCTTTTGATTGCAGCAGATTTAGAAAAATCTCATCATCAGCGTGTCTCTGAGTTGCAATGACTTCGTTCTATGTATGTAACTTTTCCCCCCATTTACAAAGTTTTAACTTATATAAAATGATATGATGCCTACTTATTTTTTCAGATTTCAGATCACGACATCCTCTTTAAGAAACCAGAACAATTGCTGTTATTATTTACTTCAATCATTTGATTTCTTTTAAGAATCTACAAAAAAGGTACACAAGGTTGATAGCCTTTATGAAAGTCCACAAAGAAGGTCCAAAAATGTTGATATTTTGATTTATGGTATGATGGAAATTAGAGGATGTATTCCTTTTGTGTAATCAGAGTGAGAGGGTATATTAATTATTTTACTTCTCTGACACTTGGGAGGTACAGAAAGTTTCCTTTTTATTTGTTTGTATTCTGTTATATCTTCTTCATCATCAATCTCTCTCTCTCTCTACACACATGCTTGCGTATCACACACAAACACATTCTTTGAAATGATGTGGTATTTTAATGATTCAACCATACGTTTGTTGTTTAGATGATTTATCTATTTCTGGTACTTGAATAGATGTGGTATTTCTATATCTGTGGCTGGTTAACCTTTTTCTTGTCAACTTTCATGCTGGCATTTTTTGTTGTTCGTAAATTTGGAATCCCTGCTGACTCTGTTGCTGCTAAATATTGTGCAGTTTTGGGACAAGTGAAAGACAATGGGTGGAAGCCCAAGTTGAGAATGCTAAGCAGCAAGCAATTCTAATGGCACATAAATCTCAAGTATCATCAGATGAAACTCACATCCATCTTGATCTTCATTCCCTTAGGTACAATGCATTTTTACATGTCAATTCATTATGCTTTGTATAGTGGTAGACTTCAATTTTTCCATATCTACTACATTTGACAGTATCTTTTGACGAAAGGGTATCTAATATGTGTACAGGTGAAAGCATGCAGAACTTGTTGGAGAACTATCAAATTCTTATCCCAAGGAAGATAAATTATTATTTGAGGTTTGAATGTGTTCTTGGTTTAAGTTTCCTATGTTTACCTGTTATATCCAAATTTCCAAAATCTTCCTCAGAAAAAAAGTTGGATTCTAGTTCAAGTTGTAGTCATAGAGAGGACCCCCATGGGAAAAGGATCATGGACATGCTACCTGCTAATCATTTTGCTTGTATTTATACTTTCATTTATCTTCTGGGGTTTTCTCTTTAAATTGTTTTTCTTGGGGGTGGCGCAGACTGTGATACTCTTACAAGATTTTTTTGTATGCTTATTTCTGCCTTCAAAACAAATTCATATCATTGATTTAGTTTGAGTTATACTGTTTGATTTACTGTGTATTCCTTTCTCAGACTATTCCGGGTCTTTGTTGGGAGCTGGCTCAACTCCAAGACACGTACATATTGCAAGGTACTTTTAGTAACTAAACCAATCTAGAACTGTAAGATGAAACAACATCAGATTATTTTCCTTGCATGGCTCAAAAAGCTTGTAGCTAATGTGATCTGAATTATCAATTTGTAGGTGATTATGACTTAATGGTCATGTGACAAGAATATTACATTAACCGGCAGAAAGTGGTATTGTTAGCTACTAATTGTCTAATTATCAATCAAAAGAGCAATGAGTTCATATCACAAAGATTCCTGATCTTCTGGTCTAACATTTTCTTATTCAATTGTTTTGGCAGTTTATAAATCATCTTCTTAATCAGCTTGCAAGGCAGCAGTTCTTGAAAATGGCTTGTCAGTTGGAAAAGAAAAATATGCTCGGAGCATACTCCTTGCTTGAAGTTATTGAATCAGAGGTGCAACCTTACCTATCAGCAACAAAAGGCCGTGTGGTATCTCTCTCTCTCTCTCTCTCTCTCTCTCTATGTAGACATCTAAAATCCATTTCTCCTTCACCCCCATCAAATATTTTTTCTTACTGTTGGATGATTCTAAATGTATTCAAAACTTGGAAGTCATAACACATCACATTTTAATACTATTATGCTCAGTTGCTCAGAACTGGGTAGTATTATGCTCCAGATTATTTGGGAAGCCTTGCTTACAGTTGCATGCTTAAACCCTACATTCTCTTTTTCCTTTCGTCCACTATCATGGCGTGATGATGTTCCTTTGTAATCATTATAGGGTCGTTGCCTGGCATTAATTCAAGCGGCATCTGATGTACAAGAACAAGGAGTGGATGATCAGGATCACTTTTTGCATGGTGTTAGAGATCTTTTAAGTATCCATTCAAGTAATGACAATGCATTCTTCTTCAATAAACATAAATGTTGATAAGATTTTTTATTAATAACATTATTTCCTCTCTTTTTTCAAGTATTAAATTTATGTGCTCTTGCATTAGATGCTCAAGTTGGGCTATCAACATATGTATCAGCTCCAGGTATTGTGCAGCAGATATCGAGTCTTCATTCAGACTTGATGACCCTTCAGTCTGATCTTGAGAACTCACTTCCAGAGGACAGAAATAGATCCGTAAATGAGTTGTGAGTTATCCTTCTTTTTCTTAACCATTGAGGTTATTACGCTTACAATTTTTTACTTAACCTATAAATAGCCGTGTGCAAATTATGTAATATACCTTGTGCATGTTGGTTATTGCAATCATGCAAGTTAGCACTCTTAGTTTTTTTCCTACTCATTGCAATGATAGGATTTCAACATACGACAAATAAGTTAATGAAATTACACCCCAGAATTAAAGAATATACATTGCTTACTTCATATATACTATTGATGGGATACTGACCCTCTTGATGATCATTGTAACCATCATCACATGGTACAAGCCTTGCTCTGCATTGTATTCTTTTTTTCATCCATATGGACAACAATGGCACATAGTCACCTGCTCTTTGATATCTTTTTGCCCATTCACTTTGAAAATTCGATGGCTGAATGGATTGCTTGTTCGAAAACCGAAGAGGCACCACTTTCCCAACTTCAAGAGCCGGATCTCCTTGGATAAAGCTTGTCTGTAATCTTTACACGCAACATCAGCTTTCCAGATACCACAGACCACTTTTTCAAAGTGCTCTGACAGAGTTAAAACATGTGAAGCTGGCAGCTCCCACTACCGTGTTATGACCAAGCAGGGTAAAGGAATAGCATTACTACTTGTTGTTAGGGAGACTCCTATATATGTTGACCTCCATCCCCAACAGACAGGCAGACCTGCAAAAATGCTCAACCCTTCCTCATATCTGAGAGGGCACTCCCAAAGAAGCCTTTCGAAATATTCAGCTTTCTTGCCCCCGATAATACCTCTGCAAACAAGCTATACTAGAGCAAGAATATCTCATATCATCAGGGTTAAAAGCAAGAGTATCCCATATCATGTTTTTTCCCTGTCTTTTCCTTTGGCCTTGTTCTTACCTGCAAGACAAGGAGAAAGAGAGCAATCAGTCAACACTTGGAATCAAGCTTCCAGTCAGGAACTGACTGCCTGGAACCCCTTACTTGATTACTTACCTGACATTGCTCTCGAGTACTCATCTTCAACATCTTATGCTTCCAGGGAAGATACCGCATCTGCCTGAGGAACATATAGGGCAAGTGAGAAGGATACAAGGAAGCATGTGGAGACAAGCGTAACAGCATACGTGCCGATACAACCACTACTCTGTCAAAAGCAAAAGTATCCCATATCAGCAGGTTCGAACGTACTATAGATTTGATGGACTTGTTTTGACCCTCAAATTCTTCAGTCAGCCTTATACTCTGGAGGAAACCAGAAAACCCTCCAGCCCAGTTCAAGAATAAGCCTGTGGAAAGTTACTTCTTCAAAAGCAAAAGTATCCCATATCATCTCTTCTCATTTTTCTTCTCTTTATCCTTCATGCTGCCTGCAAGATAGGGAGAATGTGAACAATCAGCTGGAACTCGAAATCAAAGTTCTGATCTGGGACTAATTGCTTGGAGCTCTGATTGCTTACCTTGTCTGTCACCTCTTTCAGCAGATCCCCTAGCTCAGCGACTTGGAGGACTCCTACTACATGGTTTGTATCGCGCTTGACCAAGCCTGAAACTACAAATAAGCTTCAAGTGAAATTGATACATTACCTTGTGCATCTCCACCAGTTAAAGATACCACCCCTGGATGGAGGAAGAGTACTTCCAGAGAAGATGCCACATCTACCTATGAGACAGATAAGGCAAGTCAAGACGATACCACACTCCGGAACTTAGAAGTTTCGTGATTACGAGATCATTCTCCCACAATATTTCCTAATGTCATTTGTATTAAATCATTCACTTGTACTCACTAAAAGAGAGCTTGAACCTATGTACTTGTGTAAACCCTTCACAATTAATGAGAACTCCTCTATTTCGTGGACGTAGCCAATATGGGTGAACCACGTACATCTGGTGTTTGCTTTCCTATCTCTATCCATTTATATACTTATCCACACTAATGACCGGAGCAATCTAGCGAAGATCACAAAAAGCGACCGTTTTCGCTACCTAGGATCTATCTTGCAAGAGAACGGAAAATTAGATGGAGATCTCAACCATAGAATACAAGCTGGATGGATGAAGTGTAAGAGTGCATCCGGCGTGTTGTGTGACCGTCGTAGGTCACTGAAGCTCAAGGAAAATTTTTATAGGACAACAATAAGGCCAGCGATGTTGTATGGCACAGAATGTTGGGCGGTGAAGCATCAACACGTACACAAAATGGGTGTAGCGGAGATAAGGATGCTTCGTGGGATGTGTGGGCACACGAGAAAGGATAAGATTGTGAATGAGGATATCCGAGGTAAAGTAGGAGTAGCCGAAGTTGAAGGAAAGATGAGAGAAAATCGGTTACGGTGGTTTAGACATGTGCAAAGAAGGCCTACTGACGCTCCGGTTCGAAGATGTGACTACGGAACAGAGGTTCGGGGCCGAAGGGGTAGAGGAAGACCTAGGAAAACTTTGGAAGAGACCCTAAGAAAAGACTTAGAGTACTTGGATCTAACGGAGGACATGACACAAAACCGAGCGCAATGGCGTTCTAGGATTCATATAGCCGACCCCACTTAGTGGGAAAAGGCTTTGTTGTTGTTGTTGTTTTAAAAACGTTCAAAACATCTTAAAAGGCGTGTAATGCCAGTTATAAAAAAAGTTTTCGCACGCGGATAATAATGTGATATGTGATTAAATTAGTTGTTAAATGTTTGTTTTTTTTAACAAACGATATTATCTACACTAAGGGAGAGAGGGTGGGTTTAGCCTCACAATGAGCTAGCAATAATGTGATTCAATCAATTGTTTATTAAATATTATTTTCTCTATTCTTAATGTAAATTTTATTGAAATCGATTTTAGCATGTGAATTCAGTTGCTTTAATTGGTTTATGAGGGGTTTCTTCTAGCATGATCTAAGATTATTCATTTACTTCAAATATTTGACTTTCCGTTTGTCAATTTACACATATATATACATTTAAAACGTGTAAGTCAGAATAACATGTCGTGATTCAAAAATATCTGCTACATGCGCGTGAGCGCGTGCACGGAGGCTAGTTTATATAATACCCAATATTTGGGATTAGTGGGTTAACTGTGCACTGGGTACGACCTTTTAGTGGGTTAACTGTGTGTATGGGTTGAGTATAAACGTTAGTAGAAAATATTTATAAACTGAACAAGAATGCAAATTTATGTAAGATGTTCATTATAGCCAGTCTAGAAGCTATTATATATTAAATAAGCTGCTTATGATGTTTCGCTTGATGAAAATTCTGCAGGATCATATTGTACCAGTTGTATCCTCAATTTTCTTACGCAGGCTGCTTCTTCCTGGGGTTCATCATAATATTGCTTTGCGCTCAACCTTGCTGGATTATAACAGGCACTGGAGTGATTCAGATTTCCATTCTCTAACCGCCGATATGTTGAAGAAGGAAATTCTTTCCCTGATTGAACATGAGGTTTGCGTTGGAGTTTTTATTGTTTCTCTCTCACACACTCATATGACACCGTGGAGGGGATAGGAATGACCTGGGGTTGCTAGCTAACAGATAACCAATGTATGTTGTATATTGTTTTAGGGTGTCAGTGATAATTCAACGTCAATATTTTGTTGTTGGAAAAAATTCTGTTCTCGCTACTTCCAAAATTGGTGCAAGAGCAATGCACTATGTGGCTTGCTTTTGGATTCCTACAGGGGCACTTTTGGATTGATCAGAAAGAACTCAGTATCTCTTTTTCGTTGTTCGGAGAATATTGAGCGGCTTATTAATGGTATCTCAGGTATTGTTGCTTTAGCTGAACCTTTCCATTTTTTGTTTTAGGACGAATTATTTCTTATTTTTAATGCTTGTCCCTTTTATTTTGGAATTCTCACATTCATATTTGATAGGTACTTCTGATGATCTCATCTATCTTGTTACCATCGAGGCGGGTTTAATTCTTCAATTAGAGGTGCTCGTTAAAATGCTTAGATGTGTTGTTAATGTCAGCCAACAATTGGGAAAAACAGCTTCTGCTATATTTTATGAATCATTAGTTAGTGCACCACTCGTTATCTCAGCTGAGGAAATTACTCATCGCCTTTTGAAGAATTTAGAATCTGGATATAGTTCAACGGTAGCAATGCTTCATGTATCAGAGCATGGACCTGATGTTGCTTTGGAGAGAAACCTGGCTGATAAAAAAAAAAATTGAGGAAATTTTCTGTTGGCATGCTGTTATCTCTTCATGCCTTGCACAAAGAATCTGGCACATGGAGTTGAATTTTAAAAGTGATTGAGGTTTATCTAAAATTTCTTAAGCCTCGGAAAATTATACAAAAATCTGATGCTGAAATATCGTTGGATATTAGTGCTTCCATTTTGGTCCAGGCTACTTCTCAAGTTGCGAAGGTTATGTATGAGTCTGCCTTCGACATTCTTCTGTTTCTAAGCTATGTAGTGAGCATCAGTGGGCAGGTCAGTTTCTTTTTATTTTTTATAATTTTTATTTGTTTTACTTTGATTTTGTGGTTTCACTTCGGGTTAGCAAGATCTCCTATGAGTGTTTTCAGTATAACAAAATCAATTATATATGTATATTTTTAGTAATTCTTTTATTAAGAAGCAAGGTTTCTCATTGTTTTTCGGTCATCGAAACAAGATTTTGATTATTTTGTTTTGATGCTTATATCTCTGCTCCCTGTTTGCACGTCGCATGTATTGGGTCTCTGCAGCTGTATGCATTATTGTGAATTATTTATTTATTTTGAAAAGACTGATTTTATTTTATGCAAAAGAAATAACACATAGTACTATTGCATTGGCAAATACGTCCAGCAACCAGACTACAAAAAACAGAGCAGAGTATATCAAACCAAAACGTTATTTATCATAATAAGTAAGCATGTTAGTTTGCTTCTCACTTGTCAGCTTTAGATACGTAAACCTGTAAAATGTTCAATATAGATCCTTAACATTTTTCTTAGCAAAAGAACCCCAAAACTAATTTTCCATTAAATAAATGTTTAGTTCATGCCTTGAAGTTATCTTTTATACAAAATCAAGGTAGTAATAAACCAGAAGAAAGGGAGTTGCTTGTTTCCTAATTCAAAATATGAGAAATTGGCTCTGTACTCTGTTAGAATGGAATCTATTGCTATGTACTCATAAATGCATGGAAATAAATTTTTTGTTTTCTCCTCCAGAACTAATGGAAAATAGAAGTGAGAATTTGGTTTCTTTCTTGAACAGGACTTTATATTACTTAGATACAACACGCAACTCAACTAAATCACCCATTGTTCTTATAAAAGAAACAACGAATAAATAACAAAGTTGGGTTGGATTCACTGCTCTAACTTTTTCACAAACCCTTGTACGTGATCTTTTCTGCTATTGAGCTGTATTCTAAATTTCAAGTACATACTTTCCACTGCAGCTTTAATATTAATATCCTTCATCATTAGTTCTATATATCGAATACATGATTTCACTGCATCTTTAATATTCATTATTCACATCCTTTATCATTGGTTTCTACACATGCTTCTGGTCTTAATTTCAGTTTATAGGAAACTACTCCAATGCACTTCAACAACTTTACAGTATACGTACTTTCGTTTTTTACCAAAGCATTTGCTTTTTCAGTCTTTATCATTTTTATATAACTCCTTATTCCATGATAAGGGTCTTCATTTTCCTGGAATTTAATCAATTAATATGTCAAAATTTCTTTGGGTCTGCACGCAGATCCAGATGCTGCATGATGATGTATCCAAAATTCAACTTGACTTGATTCCAAGGATTGAAAAAATCATTTCTGAGTGGCTTCTTATACATTTCTGTGCCACCACGCCATCTGAATCAGCTGAAATTGAAGATTTTAGCTCTCAGCTTTCAGTGTTACATATTGGTAGGATTATGCTTTGTCTGGGGCCTTAGTTTGTAATTTTGCTGATATAGTATTTTCTGATGAATATCCCTGTCCATGGTTCAGATAGAAACATGGGAAGAAGATCAAGGACTGAGAAGCTTGGAAAGTGTGAGTTCACTCTGGCTTTTTTATTCTTACCAAGCATTCGAACTTCCTCTGGACACCAGGTCTGTATTGCCTTGAGAAGCATACCAGACGTGAAGGACATTAGTATTTCAATGCGGGACTTTGTTAGCTGGATCATCTGGGGCCACACTGCAGAATCCTTTACCTTCCTCAAACGTGCAACAGATCTTGCTTTGATCCTTCTAAGGCATGGACAGTATGATGAGGTTGAGGTTGTTTCTCTACCTACAGTTTTCCTAATATCCCTTAAATTTTACTTCATTGAGATTACTTATTGTTACTTTTCTGTACTCTATAAAGCACCTACTCACTATGGTGGAGGCACATTTACAAAAGGAGAAGACATCTTATAGTATCCAAGATACAGAGGGAGGATGGTGCATACTTCATCATCTTTTAGGGTGTTGCTTCCTTACTCAGGTACGCCGTGGGTTGCATGGAGTGCTGAAAGAGAGGAAAGTCACTGAAGCTGTTCGTTATCTGTCTTCTAAATCTTTTGCTGATCGCCTATCCTGTAGGGCATTGAATCTGACTTCTTGAAGAAAGTTATCTCCAACTTTAACTTCAAGTTAAGTTTTTTTAATCTCTTTTTTCCTGAAGATATTTCTATTTTTTCAAAATTATTCTTCTAAGGAGATTCCCATTGTACCAAGAAAAAGTTCGTTGGAGTACCAGCTCGTACCAATATAATTGAACTAGTGGATAGCTTGAATTAAGATTTACGATAGACAAGTTGTATTGAATAATGTGTAATTGAGTATTACATGTTACGTGTGCTGAATGAGGCACATATGATAGACTCATGCAAAAAAATTTCCCCAATACTCAAGTATTTAATGTGTTGATTTGAAGCACAAAGTGAACCCAATAAATTGATGGATTTTGATGTAACGCACGCAACCGAAGAGTCAGAATTTTTAATATGATACACTCAGCTGCTTGGTGTTTGCATTTAAAATTTTCTTTCACATTCTCTATTCTGTTACTCTGTATTTGAATGGGCCAATATGGAATAAACTAGCATCACCTTTACAGCTTTATTACAAATATTAGTGAACAATACATTGTACACTTCTGGCTTATGTAGTGTCCAGATGCTTAGTATGAATGATGTGCATTCTTTTGAAGACTGATATTTATACTTGGGAATTGCCCATAATTGTCACTCATAATTGTATCATTTGCACTTAGGAATAGCTCATTGTTTTCCCTAGTGAAAATTGATATCTAATTTTTCTATTCAGAGCTTCGTCTGGAAAAGGAACATCCCAGGCTTTACGGAGTTTGCTTCAGGAACCGGGGTCTCCAAATCTTGGTTTCAGTGAGTTTGTTTGACTTTTATATCTTAAACGGTTGATTGTGCCTTTTGCTTTTCTGTTTTTATTAACTCTTTCATTTTACCTTTCCTTTTAGCTGGTGATATATCAGCTTCCTCATGGAGACTGCATTATTACCAATGGGCTATGCAGATCTTTGAGCAATATAATATTAGCGAAGGCGCTTGTCAGTTTGCTCTCGCTGCGCTTGAGGAGGTAGAGGAAGCTAGTGTTAAAGATGAGCTGAATGGACAAGACTCGGTCAATGAGTCAGTATCTACCATCAAAGGACGACTTTGGGCAAATGTCTTCAAGTTTACTTTAGATCATAATCTCTATTGTGATGCATATTCTGCAGTAATTTCAAACCCAGATGAGGAGAGCAAGTACATCTGCTTGAGGCGTCTGATAATTGTTCTTTACGAGCGTGGTGCCATAAAGGTTTTTTATTCAAACTTGAAACTAACTTTTGTTTGCTTTTGACATTCCTTTCCAGTTTTTTGTCTTTATTAAGTTCCAGAGTATATACCCACAAGAAAATTCTCTTTGCATGATGTTCATTCCATCTATATTGTCGATAATGTATTGATTTTTATGTCAGTACCCTTTTTTTTCTTAGCTTCAGTGATTTCTACTGATTAGGTACTTCTTTATAGACTTTTTTAGCAAAATATTTGAATATTATGTTTCCTGTATGGAACTTATTTCAGTTATTCTGTGTGGGATTGTCCTAGTGAGGCATATTCTCCGATGAAGGTTTTTTTATTACTAGATTTCTTTCATCGTCATTTGTTGCAGATTCTTTGTGGTGGTAAGCTACCTTTTGTTGTTGGTCTTACAAAGAAGGTAGTAGTACGAGCTTGCCAGGAAGGTATGATCTAAATGTAGGGCCGATTGGATACTGTATGTATTTCAAATTTTCAATTTTTTTGTCCCTGGTGATTTTCCTCTATCTTAAACATGCAGGCAGATTGTTCAGGTATATTAGCAAAGCCAGACTTATATAAGTTGCTTTATGCATTTGAAATGCATCAACATAACTGGAGAAGAGCAGCATGCTACATGTACCTATATTCTGCTCGTTTGAGAAAAGAAACAGCTCTGAGAGATTACCAGCACACGTCATTGGCACTAAAGGAGATTCTGAATTGGCTCTCTGCTGCTATCAATGCACTTCATCTTGTTCATCCGGCCAACGCTTGGATTGATCCTCTACTCTGGAGAATTCTCTTCAAAACGAGCACTATCCAAGTGAAAAGGCTAGAATTACAATAGATGAACAGAGCAAATAATGCAACAACCAAAAGTTTGTTTTAATTGTGTGTACATCTTTAATTGTTGTCACGAGTCACAACTACCATATGTATCTGATAGATTGAATACCCATAACTTTTACCTGCTACCTACCTATGTGAAAAAATTTCTTGCAGACCAACAATTTTTTCAAAAGCAATGAACGCACATACATACAGGCTGATTTTGAAATCCCATATACATACAATTACATTTATATGTACCTCATTTAGAACTGTCTAATATAATATTTGCTTTGTCCACATTTGCATTATATACTGTTCTGTTTTGAGGCAGTCACAAGTTTTATTTTTATTGCAGCTGCCAGCAACAATGCTCATCCTCAGACAGGGAAATCTTATATTGATATTGAGAAGATTGAGGATGAGTTTATGCTTACTTCAGCAGAATATTTGCTTTCGTTGGCAAATATCAAACCTGCATCTAGTGGTAAAGTGCTATTTTAACTTAATTTGTTTGTGTTAGATTTCCCAATAAATTTACATTGGTTAGCAACCCTTGACATAATTCCAATTTTGTGTGTGGTATTCCCAAGGATTATACCTAAAGAGTTGTTGGTCTAGCGATCAGGTCCTTGGCTTGCTCCCAACTAGTCTGGGGTTTGACCTTCTCCCACGGTACCAACCTAGCAAATGCTAGAGTTTCTCGCTCCTCAAATGTTGTGGGGTCAGGCAGGGGGCCTAGTTAGTTGGGTCAAAGGCTCGAATACACTAGTTTCAAATTTTGTTTTCTGCCCTTTACTTTTAACATTGCTGATGTGTACGTAGTGCCCAATACCATTGCCGGTGTGTTGTTTTCAGATGAAAGTAGACGAGGAAGATGCGGTTTCTGCTTTAAGTTGAGAGATTTTCGGTTGTCCAACAAGATGGATGGACACACTTTGAATTCAACCCTGAAGTTGAGCATCAGCTGCAGTATGATATGCATGACTTGTTAACAGACAATGCTATCAAGTTACAGTGGTTATTGAAAGTGAGCGGTGACTATTTTGTGGTTGAGAATCGTCCGCCCCCCACCCCCGCTCTCTTAATGTACGCATACAAGACATGATGAAATTTGAAACCGGATATTAATTTCGTACGGGTAATTGTGTTGCCAAGTGAAGTAATTAGAGCAAAACAAATAACCAGAATGCATAGAGGCGATGCAAGTTCTCTACTAAGAAGCCAAGCAGAAAGCAGACGGCCATACTGATTATGTCAACGAAAACCTAAACTTAAAAGGCTTTAAATAAACACTTCAACTTTAAAGAAAATGAATTGAAACATCACATTCCATTTCTTTTTTTGGTTTCCTTTGATGTAAATCTTCATTTATATCTGCAGAGTAACTCGCATAGTTAAAAGCAAAGTGAAATGGGCTGGAAGGGCAAAACCATTGCTTGTTTGGCGTGATTATTTGCAGCACTATCAACAGAAGATGAAAAGAACAACAAACCGCATACGAAACTAGTGAAACCTACTCATTCAACAAAAGAACAACAAGCCGCAGCATTCCAATGCCAACATTTCCAATTCAACCCATAGATATCAACCTCCATACAGATTAGTAATTGCTAGTTTATGAACAAACCAACCATCTCCAACTTATTTCTCAGTAAAAAAAATTCTTTGCCTTATAATAATAGCATTCCGTTGACTGGCCCTTCTTAATTGTCGAAATCTCAGTCCCACCGTTAAACATAGTTGATCGGAGAAACCCCAGAATGGACCACCCGGTCGAGGAAGAGCCCGGAAAAATCCGACTTTATGCCGATACCTTTATACCAAACCTTCAGCTTGAGTCCAAATCTCGCCAGAGCGCCAGAGGCAGAGCCATCGGCCCTAAGCCCGATCATGTTGCTTGTATTTATACTTTCATTTATCTTCTAGGGTTTTCTCTTCTAATTTGTTTTTCTTGGGGGTGACTCATACATTGATACTCTTACAAGATTTTTCTGTATGCTTATTTCTGCCTTCAAAACACTTTCATATCTTTGATTTAGCTTGAGTTATAGTGTTTGACGTACTGTGTATTCCTTTCTCAGACTATTCCGGGTCTTTGTTGGGAGCTGGCTCAACTCCAAGACACATACATACTGCAAGGTATTATTAGTAACTAAACCAACTGTAAGATGAAACAACGTCAGATTATATACCTTTCATGGCTCAAAAAGTTTGTAGCTAATGTGATCTGAATTATCAATTTGTAGGTGATTATGACTTAAGGGTCATGCGACAAGAATATTACATTAACTGGCAGAAAGCGGTATTGTTAGCTACTAATTGTCTAATTGTCAATCGAAAGAGCAATGAGTTCATATCACAAAGATTCCTGATCTTCTGGTCTAACATTTTCTTATTCAATTGTCTTGACAGTTTATAAACCATCTTGTTAATCAGCTTGCAAGGCATCAGTTCTTAAAATGGCTTGTCAGTTGGAAAAGAAAAACATGCTCGGATCATACTCCTTGCTTAAAGTTATTGAATCTGAGGTGCATGCCTACCTATCAGCAACAAAAGGCCGTGTTGGTATCTCTCTCTCTCTCTCTCTCTCTCTCTCTCTCTCTCTCTCTCTCTGTGTAGACATCTAAATCCCTTTCTCCTTCACCTCCATCAAATATTCTCTCTTACTGTTGGATGATTCTAAATGTATTCAAAACTTTAAGTCATAACACCACATTGTAATACTATTATACTCAGTTGCTCAGAACTGGGTAGTATTATGCTCCAGATTATTTGGGAAACCTTGCTTACAGTTGCATGCTTAAACCCTTCATTCTCTTTTTCCCTTCGTCCACTATCATGGCGTGTTGATGTTCCTTTGTAATCATTATAGGGTCGTTGCCCGGCATTAATTCAAGCGACATCTGATGTAAGGAGGAGTGGATGATCAGGATCACTTTTTGCATGGTGTTAGTGTTGGAAAGTAATAAGTTTAGGATTTGGACTCGGCCTGTTAGAATTAGGTTTTGTTAGAGATTAGGGTTTAGTTTATTATAAATAGGATGCATGTTATTCACTTTAGAACAAACATGTCACAATGTAGTCTCGTGGAGTTTTGTAGCCGTTTTGGCATTCTTATTTATTTAATAATATTCTGATTTTGTAGTCTAGTACTATGATATTCAACGATAGAGATCTTTTAAGTATCCATTCAAGTAATGACAATACATTCTTCTTCAATAGACATAAATGTTGATAAGATTTTTTTATTAATACCATTATTTCCTCTCTTTTTTCAATTATTAAATTTATGCGTTCTTGCATTAGATGCTCAAGTTGGGCTATCAACATATGTATCAGCTCCGGGTATTTTGCAGCAGATATCTAGTCTTCCTTCAGACTTGATGACCCTTCAGTCTGATCTTGAGAATTCACGTCCAGAGGACAGAAATAGTTGTGTAAATGAGTTGTGAGTTACTCTTCTTTTTCTTATCCATTGAGGTTATTAGGCTAACAACTTTTTACTGGCCTATAAACAGCCGTGTGCAAATTAAGTTATACACCTTGTGCATGTTGGTTATTGCAATCATGCAAGTTAGTACTCTTCGTTTTTTTTCCTACTCATTGCAATGATAGGATTGTTGGATTTATCCAATATAAATCAACCTTTAAGTGGTCTACTACATGTAATAGGAATGTAATATTGGAAAATAATGATTGTGATTTGATCTCTTAAAGATATCAATTCTATATAAGGTGTCTTATATTGGAAATAGGATTGATGGAACCCTTAATAATATATGATTATGATATTTTACTTGAGAGCCAAGAAAGGAGAGTTTTAGCTTTCCCTTATGGATGGAATCTAAGACTTTTTGGCTAATATATAAACACCGGTCTCTGCTAACCCTAGACACGACAACTAAGGCTTCCCATAGAGCATTTGTCATAAAGCTAGGAGTTTACAGAAGAGTTGGTGTTTTCTGTTTGTCATGGCAAACATAAAGATTGGAGTTTTATCGATCACGTCTTGCTTGCATGGCTGTTGCATCTTCGACAACTGCCATTGGAATCAGGTCAGTCACTCCTTCGTTTGTGTTTTAATTGTATAACCTTGTAAGGCTAACAATTGGTATCAGAGCCACTGGTTATATGATTAAAACCTATTAGGTTTGAAGTTTGATTATATAATATCTTTTCTTTTGGACTGCGGTTTTTTTTTTTTAATCCAAATTGTGATTGCATTCAGCAACATCACCATGTTGGACCTGCTTGAAAACTGCATAGTACGGTTCCGCATATAATTGTATATACTTGGCATATTAGTATGATATGCACGGCACATGTTTTACATCAATTCCTATTTGGTCTTAGAGACCGAAATTATCAGTTACATTAAACGATTACATAATTGGATAATCTGTTTCTGCGAGTGGTGCCTGTTGAGTTCAAGTTTTCTTCCACCGCCATCACCCTTCAATTCCAAACGTGGGCTTTTATAATTGAAGCACTTAATGATGATATTGAATCAACTATAATAAAGGAAGATTAAAATAGTTGGTTCATTAATTTATAGAATTGTATAATTGGAATTACCATGGTGCTTAACGTTTTCTATTTCAATGTTCATATTAATATTTGGGTTCAATTGAAATAGTCATCGGTTCTAACCTTGCACTGGAGAATTTTGAGATATATCACTCATAAATTGGTAAACTAATAATTGTTGAATGGTAGGTTTTCAAGCACTTCAAGCTTCCTTTCTTGTATTCAGTTCTCATAAAGAAAGATTGGAACAGTTTGCTTTGCTCATCTTTACTGAATTAATTATGACTGGAAGAAGATGGCATGCTTTAAGCTGTCTTTCGATATTCATGCCAATGTTTTGGTTGAATTAATTTAGTGGAAGATACAACTTTTTGGCTAACGTTGTTGTCAATTTTGTAAGCATATAGAAATATGTACTTCTGTACTAATCTTGCCAAGGAAGACTATGAAGCATCTCAAGTCAACAAGCTCGGTAAAGTCTCCTATCAAAGCAAACAATATTGATCATTATATGTGTCAATTGCGAATTAATTAGTTGATCATGCATATGGTTAGTTTTGACTATTAAGTTTTAAACTTGGTTATCAAAACAAAGAGAAAATATATGTTTTGAACATGATTAATTCTTATATGCATATAAGTGGCATACAGAACGAGGGAAAAGTAGATTTTTTAAGATATGCCAAGATGCATGCATATAAAAGTGCATATATATCTTGCTTGTTCGTGGCTTTTCGTTAGTAATGTGCATGAGTGAGCCTATTGGCTGGTCCCAGCAGCTCCAGTCACTGCTTCCAGGGTGGAAAGGCAACAAGGGGACACTAAGCACCCCTCAAAATATAATTACATACCTTATAAGGTTTTTGGAATTACTTCTTAAACTCCAAATCTTTATTGCCTCTGTTATCCATTTGAATAAGGACTAATATTGTTTGCCATGAATTGCAATTGCATAAGTGCCAGCAATTGTTTGATCAAGCTAAGTATACGTAATTTTCTAAAGCCAATTATGTATCTAGAAGTTCACATTGCATGTGTAAAATTATCATGACACCAGTATCTAAATGGTATGTATATGGTAGACATACGGAGAAGCATATGTAAAAATGCATAAATTATTTTATTGTTTGAGACTATATTTTGTACAAATAGTCTGGGTGTTTCGGCATTAGTACAAGAGTAAGTCTATTGCTCTGTTTTTCATGGGTAATAACCAAAATGGACATATGGCATGTTTTATTAAAGGGATTGGGTTGTCCTAACACAAATGTGTTGATTAGTAATGCAGTATACTAGCACTTAAGTATGATGGGGGATTAATTCAAGTACGGTTTATAATGATATTAACTCCATGCGGAATTTGCATGACTAATCAAATTAGTTTTGTCTACAATTTTGCTTTCCTATCTCAGTATAGTCATTTAATTGTACATGACTAATGCATAACTTATGGATTGACTGAGAAGGACAGAAAGCATCCAATGACAAGAATAAGGGTATAATACAAGTGAATAAGGTTTGTAGTAATTATGTGACAATTCTCATTTGTATTTTAACTATTTATTTGAGAATTGTGGTTGGTCATGTGATTATAAATATGTTTATAAAGAAGTGGTGAACATATGAAGGCGTAAGGTATGTATTTCATTCAGAGCATGTGACTAAATTGATAAGCATAAGTCTTCAAACTTGTATATAGTTTATTAGTTTTTCCCATGCCTAAAGAATTTAAACAATGCTTTAATCAGTCAATTTTTATGTGCCATAAAGGGAGAAGAAAAGAAATTATTCAAGGCTAATGTATGGCATGTATTGGAGATGTTTCTTTTGGAAGAAAAGAATTTGGTAGTTCCTTTATTTAATTTGGTATTTACAAGGCTAATGCCCGATTTTGATGCTAATGTTTTAGAAGCCTTGTACTACGGAAAGAAAGGTACAAAAGAAAAGGAACCCGTTTGACTTAAGAAAACATTTGAGCAATTTAGTTTTTATATTAAAGGAATGTATTGTTCTTTTGCATTACATAAAGTATTTCTATTTCAAGCAATTGACTCCATAATGATAAGTATTGACATTCTTGTGGTGGAATAAAACTTGTTCTATATGTGATTAATCTCTTTCAAGTATGCTGTCAGGTTTCTTGAGATTAATTTAATGTCAAAGGGAGTCATGAAGGAATTAGTGCCATTTGTTGGCAAGACTCAAAGCTCGAATCAGGTTATCATAATTTTGTCACTTACAATTAATTAATCCATGTGACTTCTTGTATCTTCAGGGTGGAGTTGATCAATGCCCTTTCAACTATGCAAGCCGCAACGGCTTAGTTGACGATGAAACTGTGTTTTTGAGTTACTTCGGTCAACTTTGCATCCTAATTAGAATAAAAGGGATAATCTTCTTGCCTACAGGTGTGGATTACTTCTTTTAGTTTAATTAAGATGGCATAGTATGGGTTTTATTTCACATAAGTTGTGAAAATCTTCATCTTGCCTACAGGTGTTGAAGTTTTTCATGAAGGTACTTTTGTGACATAAAATCTAGTACTAGAAACTAGTTAATTTTCTTGCCTACAGGTGTAAATTAACTTAGTTTCATGAAGTTTATTGGGATAAAGTCCATGCCATTAGTGACAAATATTTCCACAATGAGCCCCATAAAAGGTTGTGGTTTGAAGGCATGGAAATCGGTTGCATCATGATGTATTTTGTATCTCTTCATGAGACTTGTTGATGCAAAGTATTGGACCCATGAAGGTTAATCAAGGATTGCTAAGGTACACATTGTTTAAATCTTATGCTTGTAAATCTTTTCAATTGGAACTATGATGTCGGTGAAATTTGACTACTAAAGTTTCCTTTGGACATCGAAATTGAAATGATATGAAATTGATTTTGTTATGGATGCATAAAGTCATGGTAGATGCACATAATTGTTTCTGGCAGAATGCGTGTCTTGATTTAAATCGAGTGAATGACACGTCTAATGGTCGCCAAATGACCTGAATTTTGGACATGTTCAACATATAGATGTCTACTATGAGTCTGCAAATTTTCGTAATTTTCTGCCATGTATTTTAATTATGGTGATTTTACCAGTAACCCATGCTCGTATAGACAGTTTTACTGGCAGATTGTGTTGGTCTTTTTGAGACGTCACCTTAGACTACTTTTTGATCCAAAACGGCTCTATATTTTTATTTTATGAAGATTAGTATGTCTATTTTGATCTGTCTAATTTTGGTAGCAATCAAGCTTATAGATTTATCATGATAAATTCCAAAGTAAGTGTAACTCGTTACTGAAATTCTGTTTGACAACTTTCTGTTGGTTGTGATGTCTATATTATGTCTAAAATATAAAGCAATTTTATTTAGGTACATTTTTTAAAGAGTGTTTGCCCAAGTGGGAGAATAAGTGAACGAAAATTGGGCTTCACACTCATTAACTTATTTGCAAGTATAAACTCCGAGAACTTAGTGGGAGTTATTCTAAAATTGTGAGCATTAAGTGGACTTGCATGAATCTATTAAAGCATTATTCTATCTTCCATGAATTTGGGTTACTCGAATATCTATAATATGTTTAAGTTGCATGCGTACTTTTTCTGTTACTTGCAATCATTTGGTTTTCTCGGTTGATCATTTGTTTTGGGGCTCATAAGGACTTAGCATGAATGTGAACTTATTAAAACATATAAGATGGTTGTTGGATGCATGTTTTGTGTAACAGCGGTGAATGCTTCCATTCTTAGTTGTACCTTTCATTGAGGTAATATGTATTCATTGACTGAGTAAGGCTATTCCCAAAGGCATATTTTCAAAAATATGATTTAAGTATTGATTTGCAAATTAAGTAATGATGTTGCAGATCAGTGGGAGTTTGAGTTTAGTAATGCCTTACATTTGCAGATGACCTATAAGGTATGTGTAGAATCCATGTATTCATTTTAATCTCCAGTTGGATTCATTAAGTCACATTTTTCGTGTGCTAGTCAATTATCTGATAAAATATATATCGGATATCAAGTTGTTATCAAATTGCATATTAAATGGCATGGCATGGTTTGTGCACTGCCTCAGTTGTGAGGATTTCCATCTTGCCCACAGGTGTTGGAAATCACTATGAAAGTAACTGGTATGGTGCATAGATCAATGTCAAAAACATATTAATTCATCTTGCTCACAAGTGTTGAATTAATTTGTTTTATGAAGTTTTGGGATATTTTACTTGGACATGTGCCTATTTGGTATTTTCAGTTGTGTCCGTTTGCTACAAACATTGTTTGTATTGTTACTTATCTAATGAAAGTAATGCATGACTGTTTTGGAGATGTATTCACACCTGCAGGTTATGGTCGTTTCATTAGATGAAGGATATTTGCATTGGCAAACTAAAGGCTTTGAAGAAGCATAAAGTGTAACTTGTGTGTTACAATAAAGTGGACCTGAGATGATATAAAGTAAGACTTTTTGGTTAATTTAAAGTTTAATTTAAAGTTTCATCTCTTGATCATAATTTGTGTTTCATGTAAATGTGGATCTTAGCATGAGTGATTATGAAGGTTCTGGGTTGTGTCAACCCTACAACCTTGTTAATTCCATGTTAAGAAATGCATTTGACAGAAGCTGCATTAAGGACGAGATGTAATCACTGTTACATGGCCACTAAAGTGACATTAGTCTCCAATCTCAAGTATAAACGTGAATATTACATTTTGTAGACCAAGTGGGAGAATGTTGGATTTATCCAATATAAATCAACCTTTAAGTGGTCTACTACATGTAATAGGAATGTAATATTGGAGAATAATGATTGTGATTTGATCTCTTAAAGATATCAATTCTATATAAGGTGTCTTATATTGGAAATAGGATTGATGGAACCCTTAATAATATATGATTATGATATTTTACTTGAGAGCCAAGAAAGGAGAGTTTTAGCTTTCCCTTATGGATGGAATCTAAGACTTTTTGGCTAATATATAAACACCGGTCCCTGCTAACCCTAGACACGACAACTAAGGCTTCCCATAGAGCATTGTCATAAAGCTAGGAGTTTACAGAAGAGTTGGTGTTTTCTGTTTGTCACGGCAAACATAAAGATTGGAGTTTTATCGATCACGTCTTGCTTGCATGGCTGTTGCATCTTCGACAACTGCCATTGGAATCAGGTCAGTCACTCCTTCGTTTGTGTTTTAATTGTATAACCTTGTAAGGCTAACAAGGATTTCAACATACGACAAATTAGTTAATGAAATTACACCCCAGAATTAAAGAATATACATTGCTTACTTTATTTATTCTATTGATGGGATACTGACCCTATTGATGATCGTTGTAGCCATCATCACATAGTACCGGCCTTTGCTCTGCATGGTATTCTCTTTTTCATCCACATCCATGGTACACTAAATATGTTAGAAACAGTCCTGCTGGAACACTGATAGCCTGATATGACAAGCAATTCTATACAATATGACGTTCAGAACCTCAATGAAACCAACTATATAATTATCTAATCTTTGGCATCTGTTCCTGTATTTCTGTTACAAAATGTAAAATATGCATGGTTCATGGTAGAATTTGATGTAATTTGGCATCATGGGCCTCTCTGGTATTGGTAGACTTTATGGTATAGTGGTCTAGCGTGCGTTCCCTATCTTTAACACGAATAAACATGTCTTCTCAATAACACTGATTTGGTCATCTCTTCTGCATAAAAGTATCTACAATGAATTTGCGTCTTTTCACCTTTTCATTTTGTGTGAAAACTAACTTGTTAATTGTATCAGGTGCACTTTAATTCAAATTTGCAGTAATTGCTATTTGCGTCTTCGACAACCGCACAACCTTATACTGACCGCACGGGTATGACCTCACTATTAAACCTTCATTTCTTATTGCTTCGTTTGTTTCCATTTTTACTGGTATTCATTTTTCCCTTGTATGGTATTCTTGCATCATGTGCACGTTAAAGTCACAAAGTAGAAGATCTGAACATGGAGAATCCTGTCTTGTTGAGATCTTTTTTCAACCTTGAAAAGTTCTATGTTTTAACTTGCTTTGTAATTGATGTTTTTCGTGTGGATAAGTTTGATATCTAAATTTGGTTGAAAGACATAATACAAGTATTGTTTACAATATAGCGATAAACTCACGGTGGTTAACATTTTATGTTTCATTTTAAAATCATAGTTATGCGAACAACTAAAAGAATGAAAAATCATTTAGTTGTCCGAATGTGTCCTAGCGTTGAAATCATAGTTTTATGTTAGACATGTTGCTTTTCATTTCTTCTAGATTTTCTGATCGGCTATTGGCCATTTGAACACAATGTTATTGCGGCTTGTTGCCGTAATTTTTTAGTACTTTCTCGCCTCTGTTCCTGTACAAATTGATTTATCTTTGCCTTTGTTTGGCAGCCATTGCTGAAAGAGCTTGATGAAATGGAGAAAATAAATGCGAATCTCTCTGCTGCAGTTGAAGAGGTGACATTGGAGCATCGTAAGAAAAATGAGGTAACTGCTTTCTGGCGCATATATTGGTTTAGTTAACTACTTTCTGGACCTTAATCGTGTTATAAATATTGGAAAAATGTATGGCATGCAAATTGTAAAACATCATGCCAAGGAAATTGAGCTTCAACGAGGTGTCTTTGTTGAGTTCTTTTGTAATCCTGATCGTCTGAGGAGTCAAGTTTGGGAGCTAACTACGCGCGTCAGAGCTTTGCAGGTTTCATAACTTATGCATATATATTGTCCCGGCTTATTTGTGTGTGCAGTAAAGAGAGAGGTTGAGCTCAGTCACTGTATTTATCAAAGCCATGGATGGTCTTTTTACTCAAATTCAAAAGTTCAATCTCAATAATTGTGATTCTATTTTCATGATTTTTTATCTGTATAGTTTGTTCAAACGTTACCTTTCCTCTCATTCGTACAAGTTAGAAAAATCAGTATTGCTTATTTTTCATTGAGATTGAACTTGTGAATTTGAATTGGGACCATCGATGTCTTCCGTCAAATGAGTCACGTGCCGTGCACGGGAGTTCAGAATCAAATGACAAATATGGAAAACTAAATGACAAAATTGTAAATGATCACTCAACTTTAACCTAGTTAAAGAAATTATCTCTCAACTTACTTCATGTAACAATGGAGAAAAAAGCAAAGTAAGACATTGAGTTATCGGAAGACAAGAAACGATACAATAAGATATGCAAATTTGATATTAGGGCCTAAATCAATAGCACCGAGGACAGTATTGAAAAAGGATGCTAAGGCTTCATAGGAGGAATCTATTTCACCGTTGTTATCATAACAATAGCAATCTGAAGATTACGTTCCCAGCACGAGTGACTCAAAAAAATTCGAGATAATACTTGTAAGGCTCTTTGCAAATCCAACCGTGTTCAAATTCATAGATAATCTTATATGTTGGAAGCCATCCAAAATAAGAAATTAATCAATAATTGTCGATGGTACATATAATTGGATTTACAAAATAAAACAAATGTCTATAAAACCCATCGCATTTTAATACTTATATTAAGTCTGATTGACATGGGGAGTCATATCAACATGTATATCTACTTATTTGGACTGCTTCTTGTCGTCTCGTATCTCAACTTCTCACTTGGTTTTTTTTTTCTCAATTGTTAGATGAAGTAATTAATTAATTTGTTGCATATAAATCTCATGTTGTTATGTTTTTATAGCTGTATTTGAAATAAATTTATAACTTTTATTGATATACAAATAATAAAATGAAAAAGCTAAACACTTAAACAATGTAAGCGCACCCTATAGCAGTGAATGAGAATCTTCAACGACATTGCTGAAAAACGTACCAGAAGTACCGCAAGATCGCTTTTAACACGGAACACGAGTAACCACTACACTCGGCTTCAGCTTGGCTGCTGGATTACCGCCTCCATGGTTATCCATAAAAAGCCTAGCAAGCACATCATGAACAGAATGCTCAAACACCAAAAGAAAAAGGCTCGTCTCTTTTTCAGTTGAAAATAATGAAGCTATTCCTCCATAGGCCGTCCTACACCGCCTGTATGGTGTGGTGGGTGTGGAGGTGTGTCTGCGAAGCAAAAACCTTTTCCGCCCTCACACAGTGCCTTATTTTCGGTATTGTATGTTTAATTATAAATTAAAAAAATAGGTTTTTAAATTTGGGATGAACTTTTGTGCTGGGTCTCTGACTTACACACCCATATATAAAGGTTTTTTATATTAGCACTCCACAAACTGTTGAATACACTCATATTAAAATTTAATATTAAATAACTTATTTACCTTACTATGCAATGGCAATTTTGACCTTATTAGGTTAAAAAAAAAAATTTATATACACCCCAAATCACTTTTAACATATTATTTATCTTCTTCAACTATTAAACCCTCTCCGACCCTCCATTGTTGAACAAAACCCTAACCAATGAAACTACAAACATGTTGATTGAGAAAAAAAAAATTGACGAATAAAACAGGAAATCGATGTTTCGGAAGCTTCACATGAGGTAAGACTTCATATTTTTTATTGTTTTAGTGATTTTGATTACATCGATAATTATTTAATCTTGCTTTTGATGCGTTATTCAAGCTTCTATGTTCGTATTCATCTTTAAGGGATTACATGAAGAATTAAACACCTTAAATTACCATCAAATATTAAAAACAGACGACACGAGTTTTAATTATGGAATTGAAAACAACCCACATATGCTTTAAATCTCATGCGGCATCTTTTGTCAAAATTCTAGTTGGCATGTTTTGTCCAAATTAAAAGCTTCTTAAGATTTGAGAAATGTAGGGTGTATAGAAAATATAGGATGCATGTAGAAAATGTAATGTGTATATTAAGAATGTGGGGTGTGAGGGTATTATGAGGAAATATGTGGGATGCATTAAGATAATTTTTAGGGAGACTTTGGATGCGGTCCCTAACTACGAATATTCTTTGACTGAAACCTTATTGATTTTCAATTTTTGATCCAAGTCCCTGAAATTAATGTGATTTTTTATTTCTATGTACGTTACTATATATTTTTTAAAATTAAAAATTGAAATTTATAGTTGTTTATATTAATTAGATTTTAAATAAAAAACCATAATTTGTGGGATTAAAAATATTAAAATATAAATATACTATTGTGTATGTGTGTGTAAACATGGGTACATTCATCAAAATTAACCAAAAAACTATTGTATCAAAACATGGGTACATTCTTCAAAATCACAAAAAAAAAAAAAAAAAGATATTAGGCTTAATAAAATTAGTAAATTTCTTCGATTAAACTTAACATGGATACATTCTCGAATAAAAAAAAAAAGAATGTACCCATATAAGTTTAAAAATGGATTAGAAAAAAAATTGAATAGATTTTATATAAAAAAAAGGTACATTTTACATATAACAAATTGGTATATTTAAGAATGAGTACATTTTAAGATTAAAAATTTGAAAAAAAATTACATGAATGGTACATATAATTAGCATGGGTACATTTAGCAAAATTAAAAATGGGTACAAATAAAAAAAATATATGGGTACAAATACAAATAAAACTTTATAAAATATGGGCACAAAAAGAAATTAATATATGGGTAAAAATTAAAACTGAAAAGAAAATTGGTACATGTCACAGCCCGTCCCGGAATTTTAATTCCGAGGACATGAAAAGACGAAAATGCCCTTAAACGGGACTAAGGGGCGAAAATTTAACAATTTGGATTGAGTTGGACACGTGGGATCCCCACATCCCTCAAAACCTTCCCCAATTCCCGTACCTTGTCTCTCTATCTCTCTTCCCTCACGACTCTCTCTCACTTTCAGTTCTCTCTCTTCCTCTCCGACGCTCAACCTCACCCAAAACCACCTAAAACATAAACAAACGTCCAAGATAAGACCACATTTGGACTCCTGGAACTTCCACGATCACGTAGACATCAATTTCAGGTAAGTTCTACTTCGGAAAACCCTAGTTTTCAAAGTACCCGTGAAATGGTACTGTTCATAAACTCTTAAATGGTGGTGTTTTAGCTTAAAACAAGATCACAGTGAGATTTAGGATGTCCCAAGGAAGCTCGGAGTGCTTCGTTGGAAGTTTTTGGACGTAAGAACACGGAGATCGACAAGTTCAAAGTTTGGCCGGAGCTTTCGAGGCGTGTTCCGGCAAATCCCGGGCGAGTTAGGAGTCGAGGTAGGTATCAATCTCTTCGTCTCGTCAAGTAATACAACTTTCCTTTTTGTTTCACTCAATTTCGTTGAGTATTGAAGAAGTTATACTCATTTGAAAAATACCCAGTTTCCGGCGACCTCCGAGGCTTTCGAGGCAGTTTCCGGCCAAACCACGGCGAACTAGGTGTTGTGCAAGGTACCATTCTCTTTGTATCTTCAAGGGCTACAACTTTCATTTTTGAATCACTTGATTTCGTTGAGAAATGACAAAGTTATGGCAATTTGAAAAACTGCCCAGAAAACGGCCGCCGGAAAAACCAGTCCGGCGACCCAAGGAAGAAGAAGGTGCTACAGTAAAAATAAAAAAAATAAAAAAAAAATTATTTTAAAAATACGAGAGGTGGATCTGGCTGACGCATGAGAAATTGGTGAGTTATAGGCTCGGCCGTACCGACCACGCGGAGTGGATCCGGCCGACGTATTATTGAGATAAGAGTTGAATCAGCCGTATTGGTCATTCTAGTTGACTTCGGCTGATATATTTCTTATTATGTATGTTATTACCTAGAGAGTAGTAAATAAATGTAGTTGAGACGAGTGTATGTATTTTGCATTGAGTGACAAAATAGTATTATTATATCTTTGAGAATGGTTGCCTACTTATCGAGACAACGATGATTTATCAGTATTGCGGGCTGCAGACCGTAATATTAATAACTCATTCGTGGATTCGTTAAGCAAGCAAACCGGTAGGTTATTTTATGTTAGAATGCTTAGTAATAGAGTATGTATTGGGTCAGTTAATTTTATTCCATTAGATTGATTGTTTATAATTGTGACTAGATGGATTATTACGGGAAACCAGTCACTTTCCATCGATCTGGATGATCAGAGGGTACCTTAATGAGTGGGCATGCAAAGTGAAGTGAGTTCAGCCATTATTTATGTTGTGAAAGCAAAGAGATTGTTTTGAAAGGCTGTCAAAAATACTTAGCTCATGTGGTGCTAAATGATGTTGTTTGGAGTAGTGTGAATAATGTCGAAAGGGTTAGACTTTTCTTGATGTCTTCCCTGAAAGTATACCTGGATTGTCTTCAGGCAGAGATATGAGGTTCATTATTGATTTGTTGCCAGGTATAAATTTATATTGGAGATTGGTTCATGATGAGTTAAGGGAATTGGAAATTTAGTTGAAAGAATTGGTTGATAAAAGTTTCATTCAACCTAGTACAACACCTTTGAGGAGCACCAGTTTGTTGGTGAGAAAGAAAATGGACTTAGAGATTGTTCATTGATTATAGACAATGGAATTGGTAACGATCGAGAACCGTTATCCATGATAGTGTACTGATGTTTATTTAACCAGCTCTGAAGTAATTGCGAAGATTCAAAGATTGAACTGAGATCTGGTTACTACCAATTGAATATTATAAGTGACGTTGATCATAAGATGGTTTTCTGGACTTGTTATGGTCCTTATGAAGTTTTGTGATGCTATGTGGATACTCATGCGGTTTTATGAGTTGATGGATGAAGTATTCCAATAATGCCTTGATAAATTGATATCATTTTCATTGAAGATATTCTGGCATATTCTGAGCCAGAGCAGAGCATGTAAACGTATTAAGTCGGTGGAACAAAGATTGGAAGAATGTCGATTGTATGCTAAGTTTAGCAAATGCGAATGTTGGATGAATCAAGTGGCATTCTGAGATTGGTTATATCTGCTTAAGGTATTCAAATGAATTTTTAAAAGGCAGCATAATTGAGAATTTGGAACAACCACGAGTCGTAATTGAGATTTGGAATTTCTTAACTTACCAGGCTATCTTGGATGGTTGTGAAAGAATTTTTAGTCATTGCTTTGTCATTGACGAGACTGTTGAGAAAAGAGGTTATGTATGAGTGGGAAGGAAATTGTGAGCAAAGGATTCAACAACTGAAGTATTTCCTCACTCATGCACGTATTTTGGTATTCCCAGAGAATAGTGGTAATCATAAATTTTAGTGATGTTTCTTGAATGGTATTGGAGGCATGTTGATGCAAATGTTAGGGTGATTGCATACGTTTCACGATAAATGGAATCTCATAAGATGAATTACCCTACGGGTGACTTGGACGTGCTGGCCGTCACGTGAGCGTGACGTAACCATAACGCAAGCGGAAACGATTTAATAATAAAATACGAGTCAACGAAAACCACTAATTGCAGTTATTTACAACCTAGCATTCTATGTGCATAAGAGTGTACTAAACACACATAAACAGAGCATAAGCGTCTAGGTGCAGTCAAGTAGGACCATAACTATTTTACAACACCCTCGGGTGAAATCCTACATTTATTTAGTCTGTCAGAACACCGAAGCAGTCCTCGTAGGCCACCAACGCCTCAACTATCAACTAGAACCTGGAGGGGCGAAAAACAGAAAACGTGAGTGGGCGAAAATAAAGCTTTTCCAAATCATTTCATAAATCCACAATTATAACCCCTTTTTGGAAAACCTGTATACTTTCCCAGAAAAATAGTATATAGCATATATATCTCAACTGTCTCGATCATCAATCTTATAACATATTCAATAAAGAATGTACCATGCCAATTTCAACAGTTTAGTATGAATGCATTAACATAATATAATCAGGTAAAAGAAATAATCAATCGGAGGCCCTCTAATAGCCCTGAACGATTGAACCTAGAGCTCAACATCTATCAATCTCACTCTGCCGGAGTCACTCCGCGTGACCTGTCCGGCCTTCTGCACATAAGTCGGAACCACCTAATGTAGTCTGAACGACTCATGGTAATATTCGCTCTAGTGCTTCTCTCATCAATCATCTGTATACAATAACCTAAGGTCACCCACCAGTCATAATCTCACTAACACTCTACGACTGGCCCGTCGTACCCACTCCGCGTGGACTGTACGACCAGCATCTACTTGGATCCAAGGCGAGCGTGCGATGCGGTGAATACTATAAGCACTAAACCATGGTGCAGGATATGAGCTCAATATATCATCATCATCAACATAACAGTAATTAAATACTTACCTGTGCGTCCACAGCACCACCTTACATATATGCATCATACGACAGTTCATAATATTCATAACATTCTATGCATGGCAATCAAATCATATTTCATTTCATTTCACTATACTTTTCATTTAAATTTGATTTCTGGGGAAATCGAGTATATAGGTATATATATAAAAACAAATGCCCACTCACTGGTATGTCGCCGGGTCGTAACCCCCTTGACGCCCCTGGATGTGCTCGTCCTCGTTATAAGTCCCACCTAGAAGTGAAATAACTAAAAACGTCATTTAACGCACTATTAACGCACCTAAACCAAACTAGGTAATTAATTCTTCATACGATGCTCAAATTGGGTATATGAATATACCACCGTGACCTACACAACCTCAGGATCATCCCCATATTTTTAAAATAATTTTTAGAGGTCTCACGCGCCCCCACGCGCCTGACGTGGCACGGACCTACGCGCCCCCCACGCGCGGCCACGTGACATGCACACTGACGGCTACAGTGAACGGCGTTAGGGAATATTCCGTCAAATCCTAGTATATTCCGTTAAAACCTAACCATTCCGTTAACGGCGTCAGGAATATTCCGTTAGAACTAACGGAATATTCCTGCTTCTTCTCCGATGGACTCTCGCCGGACTCCGGTCACCGGAAAACTGGGAAAATTTTCTAATTAACTATTCTCACTCGTTTTTCGTCCATTTTCTTCGAATTTTATACCAAAATGAAGCATTTAACATGTACTATCACGTTGGAAGGTTTTTAAGGTCCAAAAACAACAAGATCATACCTTTCTAAAATTCCTCAAATTCGGCCAAACTCGAACCCAACGATCCCGACGTCCATTTTGTTCAAACGAGGCACTCCGAGCCTCCTCGTGACCTCCTTAAGCTCACTGTGAGCTTTGTTTAACCTAAAACACGGCCATATTAAAGTTTGTGAACAGTGCAAATCCACGGGGTGTTTTGAAACTGGGGTTTTTGAAATAGAACTCACCTGAAACTTGTACCCCCGTGCTCGTGAAGTTCCCAAGATCTCGATCAGAAATAATATTCACTGGGACACCATGATACTTTACAATCTTCGATATGAATAACTGAGCCAACTTATTTAAAGGATACTTCTCCCTTACTGGAATAAAATGTGCTGATTTGGTAAGTCGATCTACGACCACCCAAATGCCATCAAAACCATTTTGTGTACGTGGCAGCTTATACACAAAATCCATCGTTATATTCTCCCATTTCCACTGGGGAACGGGAAGTGGTTGCAATCTCCCAAACGGCTTCTTTCTTTCAGCCTTAACCTGCTAGCAGACAATACACCTACTTACATACTCCGCAATCTCCCTCTTCATACCCGGCCAATAGTAGAATGGTCGAATGGTATGATACATTTTAGTTCCTCCTGGGTGCATAGCATAAGCCGAACAATGTGCTTCATCCAAGATTTCTTTCTTCAGTTCCTCATTATTAGGCACATACATCCTGTTCTCTTGCATAAGCATACCATCTGATCCTCGGATCCTGAGATCTTTCTTCTTCCCTTCATTTCTTAAACTGATCAATTCTTGAATTTCTTCATCCAACGATTGAGCTGCAAGCACCCGATCAATTAAAATTGGCTTGACTTGAAAATTGGCAAGAAAAGCTTCACTTTGCTCTTCCCATTCTAACTCTACTCCAGTAGATCTCAACTCTGCCAGAAGAGGAACACGACTGGCATACAAAGCATTAAGTCGCCCTTGAGGTTTTCTACTCAGAGCATCAGCTACCACATTTGCACGACCCGGATGGTACTCAATCGTGCAATCATAATCACTTAACAATTCCAACCATCTTCTCTGACGAAGATTAAGATCATGCTGAGTGAAAAGATACTGAAGGCTTTTATGATCGGTAAAGATCTTACATTTCTCGCCATAGAGATAATGTCTCCAAATCTTCAAAGCAAACACAATAGCTGCCAATTCAAGATCGTGAGTCGGATAGTTTCTTTCATGAGTCTTCAACTGCCTAGAAGCATAGGCAATCACTATACTATGCTGCATCAAAACACAACCCAAACCATTCAAAGAAGCATCACTGTAGATTTCGAAGTTACCATCATCATCAGGAAGTACTAACACCGGTGCATGAGTAAGGCAATATTTCAATTGCTGGAAACTTTGCTCACAACTTCCATCCCATTCAAACTTAACATCCTTCCTGGTTAACTTCGTTAATGGCAAGGCAATCATAGAAAAGTCTTGAACAAACCGTCTATAATAACCTGCCAAACCAAGAAAACTCCGCACCTCAGTGACCGTTCGAGGTTGTTCCCAACTTTCCACTGCTGCTATCTTTTGAGGATCCACTTGAATTCCCTGAGCTGATACCACATGTCCCAAAAATGCCACTTGATCCAGCCAAAATTGACATTTACTAAATTTGGCATATAACCGGTGTTCCCTCAATTTCCTTAACACCAAGTTAAGATGTCGAATATGGTCTGATTTCGACTTAGAATATACCAGGATATCATCAATAAAAACAATAACAAACCTGTCTAAATATTCCTGGAATACTTCATTCATCAATCTCATAAAAGCTGCAGGAGCGTTCGTTAATCCAAATGGCATCACCAAAAACTCATAATGCCCATAACGAGTCCTGAAAGCTGTTTTATGAACATCCTCATCTTTAATCTTTAATTGATAATACCCAGACCTCAAATCGATCTTAGAAAACACACAGGCACCTTTGAGCTGATCAAACAAATCATCTATACGAGGCAAGGGATAACGGTTTTTCATCGTCACCCGATTCAATTGCCTGTAATCAATACACAATCTCAAAGTTCCATCCTTCTTTCTTACAAACAACACTGGAGCTCCCCAAGGTGAAGAACTAGGCTGAATGAAACCTTTATCAATTAACTCTTGCAATTGAATTTTTAACTCTCTTAATTCCGCTGGTGCCATTCTATAAGGAGTCAAAGAGATAGGGTTCGTACCTGGAAGCAAATCAATCGAAAACTCCACATCTCTATCTGGAGGCAATACAGGCAAATCATCTGGAAATACATCAGGATAGTGTCTGACTACTCCGACTTCCTCCACACTACCGGAATCAACATCATTCAACACCACATGTGCCAAGTATCCCTGACAACCCTTGGATAACAACTTCTTTGCCCTTATGGCTGAAATAACACCATGCCTCACCCCACTTCTTTCACCCACAAATGTAACCTCGGGTAGTCCAGGACGAAGAAAAGTAACTGATTTCCCGTAACAATCTATATGGGCGCGATTATAATGCAACCAATCCGCCCCTAAAATCACATCAAAATCCACGATGTCTAACGGGATAAGATTAGCAGGCATAATGACATTATCTACCATCACTGGACACCCAGAGTAAAAACTATCAACATAACATTTATCCCCTCTAGGCATAGCAAACTCTAAATCAAACCCTAGAGGTGAAGGATGAGGTCGTGTCATTTGAGCAAATGTATGAGAAATCACAGAGTGTGTAGCACCACAATCAATCAAAACTCTAGCAAAATGACCAAGAACATTCAACGTACCCATAATCAAGTCTGGATGGTTCTGAGCATCTTGCAGCGATATGTGGTTAACACGTCCCTGAGTTGGCTGTCGTCCTCCACGACCTCTGCCACTCTGGTTACCTCGTCCCTGATGAGTACGTCCTTGACCTGCCTGGGCAGGCGGCCTAAACGACCCTGCACTACTAGCAGCAACTCCGCTCTGTTGGGGCTGACCCCCCTGATACCACTGAGATCCGCTAGCTGGCATAGACGGATATGAAGTATAACCTCCCTGATCCTGAGAATATCCACTCTGAAAATAAGGATCCTGGGAATAATGATACTGTCCCGGAGCATAAGGAGCAGCATCACCCTGATAGTGATAAGCACCACCACGACCACCTTGGCCATAACTGCCTGAATTAAAGTTCTGTTGAGTCGGTGCTGATGTTGGCATAACAGGTTGCTGGGGCCTCTGCTGATTCTGGGGACAATACATAGCTTTATGTCCTGTCTGACCACATGTAAAGCATGCACCACTGCTTCTCCTACATTCCCCATGATGTTGGAAATTACAACGGCGACATAACGGAGGACCCGAACTACCAGTACCACCCAAAGCCTCTATGACCAGAAAATCTAGGTCCAGTACCAAACCTACCACCTCCTCTCCTCGGACCTGTGGCACTAAATCCACCACTGGAAGAACTCGAACTCATTCCACTTTTCTTGAAATTCTGCGTCTGACGAGGTCCTGGAATGGAAACACCTTTACCTTTCTCATTTTTCTTCTGACCATTACCCTTATCCTCATCATCCTCACTGTCCGGAAGATTATCAGAGTCTTCCATCCGGACCAGAATCTCAAAATACTCATGATAATCGGCACAGGGAAGTGCATTGGCAAACGTTCTGTACTTCTTCTTAGGATCCCAACTTGAAACGACGAAGCATTTCTGCTTGATTACCCGCTAAATCAGAATCATAACGGGATAAATCAGTAAACTTCCTGTAGTACTCATGTGCGGACATATTTCTCTGCTTCAGACTGGTGAATTCCTGTTTCTTGCGATCTATATATTCCGGAGGAACAAATCTCTTCATAAAATTTTCCTTAAATACCTCCCATTCGGCTGCCCTTTCAGGTGTCATGTGCCTCGACTGATTTATCCACCACGCCGCTGGCTCACGGCCCAAAAACCAGGTGGTGGTCTCCACCCATCTATTAGCTGGCAGGTTTCCCTGACTTTGCATCACTTGAAAGGTCTGCTCAATCCGATCCAACCACTTTTCTGCCCCTTCATAACTTTCATTTCCCTCAAAGGTTTCCAATTTCAGATTATACATCGTCTCTACAGGCGTTCTCTGAGGAGGACGGATATTAGCTTGAAAAGCTTGAGCCATTGCTGCCCCTAACTGAGTTATATCGGGGAAATTAGGCTCAGCAGCACGGCGAGGATCTCTACGAGGCGGCATAATTCTGACAGAAAACATCCAAAAAATCAATAGAAGAACTCATTAGTTATACAGGACTGCAACCTATGCTCTGATACCAAACTGACACCTGAAAGGGCAGCCGAATGGGAGGTATTTAAGGAAAATTTTATGAAGAGATTTGTTCCTCCGGAATATATAGATCGCAAGAAACAGGAATTCACCAGTCTGAAGCAGAGAAATATGTCCGCACATGAGTACTACAGGAAGTTTACTGATTTATCCCGTTATGATTCTGATTTAGCGGGTAATCAAGCAGAAATGCTTCGTCGTTTCAAGTTGGGATCTAAGAAGAAGTACAGAACGTTTGCCAATGCACTTCCCTGTGCC